AATCATAAATTACACCACCTGGACCGCTGTGGCTCGGATCATTGCCCAATTTTACTTTATACGGCTGGAAAAGAGGACGAGGAGATTCGGTGGGGGTGGTACTTCAAAGTGGAACCCTTCTGGTTAAAGGACCCCGAGTGTGGCAACATTATCAGTAAGGTCTGTGAAGGAAATAAGGAGGGTGACATCTCTACTATTCTAAGTGGATGCAAAGCCGAACTCACCAATTGGAGCAAAGACAAGTTTGGAAATATAAGAAAGAGGATCGAGAGGGTTGAGAATCTCCTTAAGGGATTCAAGTATAAGAGGAAAACAGGGACTGTTATTGAACAAAGAAGAGCTTTGGAGAAAGAAAGGGATGAGTTGCTATATCAAGATGAGATGATGTGGAAACAGAGATCGAGGGCTGACTGGCTGCAGAGGGGCGACAAAAACTCTAAATTCTTTCACTACAAGGCTTCTGCCAGGAGGAAACGTAATACAATCAGGATGCTACAGGATGAAAATGGTAGAATTTTTAAGGGGCAAAGAGCAGTAATGGGTTGCCTAAACGATTATTATAAAAACCTGTTTACCAGAGGCCCTACCCCCAGCACGGACATGATTATACAGGCTCTGGAAAGGAAAATAACACCAGCCATGAATGATAAACTCCTTTGCCCTTTTAATAGGGAGGAGATTAAAGCGGCACTTGATGAGATGGGACCGAACAAAGCCCCGGGCTCCGACGGCTTCTCAGCGGGGTTCTTCCAACAGAACTGGACTTCTATTGGCCCTAAGGTAATTGAAACAGCCCTCAATTTTTTAAATGGAGGGGTTCTCCCACCTGATCTTAACCATACTCTCATTGTTCTTATCCCTAAGGTTAAGAACCCTTCAAATGCTAAAGAATTCAGGCCAATCAGTCTCTGCAGAGTCATTTACAAAATTATATCGAAGGTTCTTGCTAACAGACTTAAGCTCATTCTTGGTGATATTATTGCTGAAGAACAGAATGCTTTTGTGCCTGGTAGAAGTATAACTGACAACATTATTGTTGCTTTCGAATGTTTCCAGTATATGAAGTCAAAAGAGAAGGGAAAGGATGGTTATTTTGCTGCGAAACTCGACATGGCGAAAGCCTATGATCGGGTGGAATGGTTCTTTCTTGAGAAGGTAATGAGAAAACTCGGTTTCAACGAAAGGTGGATAGCTCTTATTCTGAAATGTGTCTCAACTGTCACATATTCTGTTCTGGTTAACGGCCACAAATCAGAAACGTTTTCTCCTTCGAGGGGGTTGAGACAGGGCGATCCTCTGTCTCCCTATCTATTTCTCCTTTGTGCAGAGGGTTTCTCGGCTATTATTAAGAAAGCAGAAAGGGAGGGGATGCTCAATGGGATTCAGATCAGAAAGAAAGCTCCAAAGGTTTCACACTTGTTGTTTGCTGATGACAGCATTGTGTTTGGGAGGGCTTCCCTAACTGATTGTGATCAACTGAAGACTATCTTAAGGGCCTATGCTCAGGAATCAGGTCAGATGATAAATTTTAATAAGTCTGATATTTCTTTCAGCACTAATGTGAGATGCAGTAGACGGCTGGAAATCTGTGGTACGCTGGGAATCAAGGAGGTGAGCAAACACCCAAAATACCTGGGGCTGCCTACAGTTGTTGGAAGGTCGAAGAAAGTAATCTTTGAGGAAATTAAAGAGAGGATTAGGAAGAAGCTGAAAGACTGGAAGAACAGAACTCTATCTCAAGCAGGGAAGGAAATATTGATTAAGGCTGTGGCTCAGGCTCAACTTATTTACCCTATGAATGTTTTTCTTATCCCTGAGGGTACTCTCAAGGAAATTCAAAGCATGATATCCTCTTTCTGGTGGGGGCAGAAGGGCAAGGAAACTAAAATACACTGGCTTAGGTGGGAAGAGTTGTGTGATGATAAGGAGGAAGGGGGTCTGGGTTTCAGGGATCTCAGAGCCTTCAACCTGGCGATGCTGGGAAAACAGGTTTGGAGGATCATGGAAAGACCAAATTCTTTGATGGCTGATGACTCGGTATTTGCACATGTTCTCCCCTTTGTTTCTTGATTGTTTGAGCTTGAATTATTGCGTCTTTGGCCTATTTTATGCTAGGTTGTGTTCCTTTGTCCCATTTCAGGTCTTAGCACATAAAGTGAAGCATAGGCGCAAGTTTCAAGTCAATCAGAGATCAATTGACGATTCGAGAGAAGAAACTCGGGCATGACCTGAAGAATAATGGATGTCTACCTCACTTTATGGACAAAGAATCATGCAAGCTTGTTATGAAAAGAAAGAGGACGAGACCACGAGCGTCTGGGATCAAACGGCGACTGAATCGGAGGTCAAACGAGCTCAAACGAGATCAACGAAGCTTAGGAGTGCATGCTGGAAATTGTGCACGGCCAGAACCTCAATTTGCACGGCCGTGCAAGTAGGGGGTGCGAGTTTCAGCGGGTATAAAAGTTGTTTTGCGATTTTTGGAGGGGGAGAGCTGGGTTTTGGATCCCAATCACCCAAGGGACGAACCCTAGAGAGAGAGCGACTTGGGAACATTCTTGGAGCTATTTTGGAGGATTTCTTCGCCATTGGAGCTCAGGAATCAAGCTTGGAGATGGAGATTGAAGATCTAGATCAGATTTCTGCAGTCTCTCTCTTCTCTATGGAGTAACTTCCCTTCACTTAGGTTTTGAGGAACCCTAGTTCCATGAGTTAGGATCTTTCTTGTATGAAGTTTTGGATGCTATATTGTTTGATTATAATCGATTGAGGCATGATTTATTGAGTCAATTGGATCTTGATCAAATTCTCTTGATTTCTGCTTTAACCTATGATAGATAGAATCTGATTAGGTTAAGAGAGCTTCCTTGATTGATAGTAGTGAATTGGTTGTGCGAGAGTCAATCAATTTACTGCTTTGTACTGGAATTCATTCCAGTAGTGGAGATCTGTGTGAATCGCCTTAGCAGTCTATCCCGGTGAAGGCTAGTCGCCTGCCGGGTATTCTGTCTGAGAGGGCTTGGTCAGCTTAAGAGATTCCAAGCGAATTTAGGATCTTCCGCAGTTTAATCAACAGTAGATCAACCAAAGGTAATTGCAACTTGGACCTAATTGAGGAGCTAGGGGGAATCATACCTAAGTGAGTTCCTAACTTGTAATTAGTAGAGTAGTCAGTAGAGTAGTTTATCAATCAATTCTTAATCTAGTTTGCTAGATAATGAACTGAAGCTGAGTAATAGTAACTCTAGAGACCCGTGGATTCGATATTTATTACTTGTGCCACTATATTGCAGTCCCTTTCATTGGTTACACTTGGCCATTGTTAGGTGTTGTGTTTTAGCGAGTCAATGGCCAAAATTCTTAAGGCTAGATACTTCCCCAAAACAGACATTCTCAATGCCAAGGAAGGATTCAGACCTAGCTTTATTTGGAAAAGTATTATCACGGCGAAAGACAAAATTGAATCGGGATTCAGATGGAAGGTGGGCAATGGGGCTTCTATTCGAATTTGGGAAGATGAATGGATCCCGGGGAAGAGCTTCTATTCTGCGGATCCTATTCCTGGGGGTATGAACAATGGCGAGCTTGTGAGTTCGCTTATTGATCAGGAGAGATGCGATTGGGATAGGGGCAAAATGCAGGGGATTCTGTCTAAAGGGGATTGTGATCTTGTCTCCAAGATTCCAATCCACTTCCCTCTAAAAGATGACAAGAGGGTGTGGAAGGACTCTGATAACGGAATCTACTCCGTTCGAACTGCCTACTACAGGATTCGGGAACAACGACTTCAACTTCAGACGCGGAACTATGTGCCATCAAACGAGGAACAGGAATTCTGGAAGTTACTGTGGAAAACAAATGTTCCTCCTAAAGTGCGAATCAGGGATATCTTACCTGTTGGAAATAATATTGCAGAGTGGATTGATGATGCTAGCTCGGATTGCCCTTTCTGTGGCTTGCCGGAAGACCAAATGCATGCCCTTCGAAACTGCAGCTGGATAAGAAACAGATGGCAAGTATGGGATGATAAAGCTTTGTATGAGATTGGGGAAGATAAATCTTGTCTCGAATGGCTGAAAGAGGTTTGGAAGAACTTTGATGAAGGGAAAATTCAAAGGTTTTGTGCGGCAGTGTGGTACCTTTGGAAGGAGCGATGTAACCACCTAAACAACAACGCTAAGCTGGAAGAGGAGGATATTATTCCCCGAGCGATGGCATGGCTTAGTTCCTACCTGGATGCGCAGAGATCCTTGGATCTTCCTCCCACTGACAATGGCGGATCGGCCTGGCCGGAGAGATGGGTTCCGCCGTCAGAGGGGTTTTTCAAACTGAACTGCGACGCGGGGATTCTGCAGCAATCCGGTTTCGGGTTGGGATGCATCTTTCGGGATTGGAGGGGGGATTTTAAGGGTGCCACTGGGTTGAAGGAGAAAGGAGCTTGCCGACCTATTGAAGCCGAAGCGCGAGCTATTGCTATGGGTCTCAGGGAAGCTAATCGGAAAGGGTTAAGCCCGCTTATTGTGGAATCGGACTGTCAATTGCTCATCCATAAGCTAAGGAAGAAGGAGGAGGATCGAACGGAGGTGGGAAGCTGGTGTGGGGAGATTTGGAGATTGGCCGAGGTTAATGCGAGCTTTTCTGGAATTCAGGTGAAATGGAGCTTCACCCCTCGAAGAAATAACGGAGTTGCTCACTGGTTGGCTCACTCTCTGGGAGTTTGGGGCCGTCAATTTGTCTGGGTTGATAACCCACCTGTTTCCTTGCTTTGTATCCTAGAGAAGGATTTGGGCCGTGATCGGTTGGGCTCGGTGTAAAACTCTCCATCTAATATTATTGATCCAGGTTCCCGTCAAAAAAAAAAAAAAAATGCATACATGACATATTTCGATTAGGAAAAGGCTTACAAATAAATAAGTTTGTAATTTAATTGAAGGATTAGGGATTCCTGTTCCTCATTCGGCGGCTCTCTGATTTCTTCTCCCAATTGAGCTCGCCGGATCATGGCCACCGAGAACTATAGCAGCAAAAGACTAACTGCTTCCCGGCCTTCCTCCATCATCAGCACTCTCGGAGTCGATGAAGATCTCCTCGTCGAAATTCTGATCCGACTCCCGGGCCCTAAATCCGTCTTCCGATGCAAATCCGTCTCCAGACGCTGGAACGCTCTAATCTCCGCTCCCTATTTCTCTCGCCGTTTCGTTTCTCACCACCGGACCCCGTCCCCCGCCAATGCGGGCGAATCGGAACAGCCCGTCCTGATCATCTCACACGTGCGTCAATTGATCTCGAGCTTTCTCCCTTTCCCTCACGGGACCGAGTCGAAGTTCTCGGTTCTCGATTCGGTCAAGGACTTGCTCTTAATCGGATTCTGGGGGCCGGAGACGACCGAGCAGGAACTGCGCAGGACGCACCTGATCTGCAATCCGTTTACGAAGCAATGGGTCGCCCTTCCTCTGGCGCCTAAAATGGCCGCCAGGTTGAGTCGCGATAGATGGATCGTGAAATTAGTCCTTGAGCCGTTTAATTCCTCCTCCTCCTCCGCCCCACGTGAATTCCGGGTGGTGCGAATGTACAATCCGATGCGGGGAGGTCCAGCAAAAGTGGATGTGTACACGTTCTGTTCGAGATCCGGACGGTGGACGAAATCCGTTCTCCGTCTCGATGCCGATTTAAGGTGCTGGATAGCTGATCATCGTGTAGTTTCGACCAACGGGAAGTTGTACTGGCTGAACAGCATGCGAGGAGTTGTAGTAAAGTGGGATCCTCCTTTCTGCCAGCTGGACTATGGGATGGTGGGTACTGCTAGATTTCCAGTATTGTTAGAGGGCTGCGAGCTCGATTCGCAAATCACTTCTTGCTACGGTCTGTGGGTCTCGGAAGACGACGGTGGTGATCATGTGCACATGGTTTGCAATGAACGGATGGGTTCGATGGGTTCGATGATGAGTGTTTGGAGACTGGTGGAGGACGAAAAGGGAGGAGGAGGATGTTGGAGGAAACAGTATGAAGTGGCGTGGTCTAACAGCTTGAGTTGTGCTCGCAAGTACAGAGACGGGAACGGCAGCGAGATGGAGATCGAGATCGAGATGCTGGATTTGGTGTTCACAACCGTGGTGGGTGTGCATTCCCAAAAGTCGGAAGTATTGTTTGTGTTGGCTCTTCGTCGTAAGCATTCACGATGGGCTATTTTGTCGTGGAATTTCAGAAGCAATAGATTAGAATTCGTCACTGATCAAGATGGCGAGGCCGCGGGATGCTTCTTTGACGAGGTGTTCCAACCCAGGGTAACTTTGTGGCCTACTCTGATTGCAAGCCGCGACAAGTTGGGAAATGCATATGATTGGAAGTTATAATTATTGGCTTCCACCACCAAGTAATTAATTAGTCAACCTCGCTTAATTATAAGGCGAACCAATCTCTCTAATGTATTGTGACTCCGCTCTTATTCCTATTGTCATCAGAGTTAGATTTATATGTTTGAATTGGTTCGACATCAATCGTTGTTTGTTTTCTAAATGAAAGCATTTTCTTCCAATCTTTCTATAGACTATAGTCGATTTGATTGGGTTGTAATCGAACAACCTCATCTGGTTGACCATATTTTTACAACTGAGGAATAAAGATCAAGTGTCAGCTGGACGGGTTGGAGTGTAGAGCAACATCTCGATCGAGCCGGGAGCGCGGTGGTTGGGGGTATGACAAACGGCATGTAGAGGTTGAGGTTGCTGAGTGATTCGGGCTTAAATGTACTCATTTTTTTTTATTCCCGTTTCTCTTTGACGTTTGTGACATTTGAGCTCCTAAAATGGTGGTTTGATTGATTTGAATCGATCACATTTCTACAAGTTATCAACTGACATCAAAGCTACTGCTGTGGAAGGAAGAAGACGATGAACACATACCAACTATGTGAATATATAAAAAGGAAACGGTGGCCTTGTGTCTTTGACTAATGAAGAACTCAGAACGCCACCGTTTCCCTTGGTCGTCATGGAACAAAGAAGAAACATCACCGTTTGGCCAATGAAGACATAAACAATGTAATTAATTGAGTAAAGACATTAGTCGTTAGTTTTATTAGCTAGTTATAAATTAGTGTATGTTAGTCGTTGTTTAGTACTCCTTAATGTGGGGCTCTGTACGTGTGTGTATATATACCGTAGAACCACTTGTAAACGATATTGATACGAGTACGGAACCACTCCTATTTGTAAAAGTCACGCAGACACAATTTCTTTTAGGGTTTGATGAAACTTTCCTCGACAACACGAAATATGAAAAGGATAATATGGAATCGAACGTGCAACAAAATTGGGAAGATCTCGAGCAATATAAAGGTAGAAGCTCTAGACTATAATCAAGATGGATGCTTGATTGATACAGAAACACACTCAACGCGATTGGAGTCCGCCAACGATAAGAGCAAAATTCACAAGCACAAAAGCTCAATGAACAATAAGGGTTTTCAATTGATCAAATTCTAAGTCTAAAACTTGTGTTTACAACTTTTTAAATAGGTATAGGAAAAATAAAACTAATCAAAATATGAAAATACAACAAAGGAAGAGAATCCTAAACAAACAAGGTACGTAAGTAGAACTTTAGAGGCTATTCCCTATCACTTCCCTTTAGAGATGGCAATTGGATGGATGGTTGGATTTGACTGATGAATTCATGGATCAAAAGAATTGGTGGATTTATGGATTGGATTATATAGATTGGTGGATTGATCCATGAGTCCAAATGACTTCAAAGCCTCGGACCAAAATGTAAATTTTGGAAGATTTAGGTACCAAAATGTCATAATAAAATAGTTTAGGTACCAAATCATAATTTTCAATGATATTTTTCGTATAAAAATATATTTTAGGTACCAAAATGTAAAATATAAAAAGCATAGATACTAAATTGTAATTTGTCGTTTGGATCCATGGATTCCACGAATCCACCAATTCAATCAAATCAGCAGAGGTTGTTCGATTGCAACCCAATCAAATCGACTACAGTCTATAGAAAAGGTGGGAGAAAAATGCTTCATTTAGAAAACATACAACGATGTCGATTGGCTTCTACTATGATTCACGAGGTTGATTAATTACTTGTTGTTATTGGTGGAAGCCAACAACGATAACTTCCGTCGTACGCATTTCGCAACTTCTCGCAGCTCGCAATCGAACTAGGCCAGAAACCGACCCTGGGTTGGAACACCATGTCGTCTTGAGGAATGAAGTACTTTGGTTCATCGTCATCTTGATAAGTGACGAATTCTAACTCGCTGTTTCTAAAATTCCACGACAAAATAGCCGCCGATTCTCGAGAATCCGGATGAAAAGCCGACAAAAACACGATCTCGGACTTTTCGGGATGCATACCAACCGCGCTACCGAACCTCAAATCCAGCGTCTCGATCTCGTTGTCGCCGCCGTCGTCGTTGGACTTGCGAGTACAACTCAAGTCGTTAGACCACAAGACTTCATACTGTTTCCTCCAACATCCTCCTCCCTTCCCGTCCTCCACCAGTCTCCAAACACTCAGCATCGAAGCCATCGATTCTTCGCAAACCATGTGCACAGCACCTTCTGAGATCCAGGGACCGTAGCAACGCATCTGCGAATCGAGCTGGCAGCCTTCCAACAACATTGGAAACGTAGTACCATAGTCCCGACGGAAAGGATCCCACTTTACCACAACTCCTTGCACTAGCCAGTAAAACTTCCCATTGGTCGAAACTACACGTCTATAAGCTCCGTAACCCCGACACATTAAATCGGCATCGAGAGTAAGAACGGATTTCGCCCACCGTCCGGATCTCGAACAGAAGATGTAAACATCCACTTTCGCTGGACCTCTTCGGAACGTCCTCATCGGATTATACATTCGCACCACCCGGAATTCATCGAACGGCTCGCAGACTAGTTTCACGACCCATCTATAATGACTCAACCTTGCTGCCATTTTAGGCGCCAGAGGAAGGGCGACCCATTGCTTCGTAAACGGATTGCAGACCAGGTGCGTCCTGCGCAGTTCCTGGTCGGACGTCTCCCGATCCCAGAAACCAAGTAAGAGCAAGTCCTTGACCGAATCGAGGACGAGGACCGAGAACTTCGATTCGGTTCCGCATGGGAAAGGGAGAAAGCTCGAGATCAATCGACGGACTTGTGAGATGGTCAGGACGGGCTGTTCGGATTCGTTGTGGGCTGCGGCGGCGGCAGGGGGCAGGGTCTGGTGGTGAGAAACGAAGCGGCGAGAGAAATAGGGAGCGGAGACTAGAGCGTTCCAGCGTCTGCAGACGGATTTGCATCGAATGGCGGATTTGGGGTCCGGGAGTCGAATCAGAATTTCGACGAGGAGATCTTCGTCGTCTCCGAGAGTGCTGATGATGGAGGAAAGCCGGGAAGCGGTTAGTCTTTTGCTGCGCCCGCCGGCAGCCGAGCTGCAATAGCTCTGGGCGGCCATGGCTGGTTGTAGACGGCGAGGTCAATCGGGAGAAGAAAACAGAGAGCCGAATGAGGTACAGAAACCCTTAATTCTTTTGGGTTCTCCTAATCGAAATCTATTGAGCATGCAATTAGGCGTAGTTACGTTTGGCTGCTATTTATATTGGGCACAGGCCCAATATCCTAGTCAGAATGGAAAAAGTACAAGAATCCGTTTGTTGATGGAAGAGCTGGCCATCACAGGGGATCGACAACTCGGGCATTTCTGTCAACCACAAATTATGAAGATATTAGGGTCGACAACAGTAAAATCACAGTTTAAAGTATAAGTGCAATGACAAGCCACAAACTGGTAAAATCTTGCAAGCTCGGAAGGCAAAAAAAAGATCATGCGAATGAACTAAATAAAACCTCTCCAAAAATCTCAACAATTGAGCACTAAGGAATGGGAATGAGGATCTTTTCTACAGCGCCGCCTCTTGCTGATTTTCCTCACTGGAAGAGGGTTCTAGTCAAATGCTCCCGAGCTGTGGCCAATGCTTGAGAGATGGTCTGTGCATTTGAAAAAGCAGAGGGAAAAAGAAATTTTGAGTGAAGAGATGAAGCTATGATGCCGAGAACTGTAATGGAGGATGCGATCATGAGAAAGCAAACCTGCTCAGACAATGGTGCAGCAGGGTCCATGCTATTGACGGCCACCTTCCCGGCAATGACATTGGCATCCGTCTCCAATATCATACTGCAACAACAACAAATATTGTCAAGTAAGAAGCAAACCACGCGCCGATGGAAAATGAAAAGGTCAAGCCTGAGAAGCAAAGCTATACAGAGATGCAGCCATTCAAGGCATGGAGATGATATTGGATAGGAAAACCCACAGAAGAGAGCAACAAGTGTACATGCTCTATAGTCTATATGGTTATTTGCTAGAGCAAGCTAACTACTTTTGGAACCAAGTTGCATAGAAAGAGTTATCAAGGAAATCTCTTGACTGATCTGTATTCAGATACCAAGGGAAAGAAAAATCAGGCATACCCTCTTTCAACAATCTCATCAAGGCATAAGAAGATGAGATCCAAGTTCTCAAGTGCCTCCCTCTTGTCAACATTGTTCCTACAAAAACAAAATGGAATGAATGAATCACACAAAAGAGGATATTAAAGGAAAGCAGAGTCTGCACTCAGTACTCAGATTTACTACCTCAGGAGAAGAGCAACAGAATCAAAGAAACCTTGAAGCACCGCCGCCAATATAAGTTCATTTTCATCATCCCCTCCGGTCACAAAGAAGTGGAGATCCTGGATGAACTTATACACAATGATGTAGTTGTCAAACATTGTGATCTCCGCTGGAGTGGAGAAATAAAATGGATCAGCAACGCAAACAAAGAGTAGAAGAAGATTTTGACAAGCAGTCAGACTACAGGACATTTTTCTTTAGAAATTGAACGAAATAAGCATGTACAACTGTAGAGCACATCTCAGTACAAGTACTCCACATTATTCCTAATTCCGAGAACATATCAATACAGTGATAACATGAGCACCAGCAGTGTACCTTCCCTACTATTAAGCAAAACTCAGATGGCAGAATGAAGAACATTCTCAATTCAAGTATCCTATTTCTCAATTCGTGTTCAGATCCCAAGCACTAGCTAATGGATTTAAATTCTAGTGATGACAACTATTTGAAGCTGCAACCACTGTATAGTATAACAAAAAATCCTATCTTGAATATACATTCAGAGATGACCAAGAAGTTCACATGATCACGAAACAAACCTTCAGTCCGAGCATTAGTCTTCATGGTTTTTGTAAAGAGAGCTTTCTCAAAGGCTAACTTGGAGTTATTCGTCGGCCAGTCATCGGAATAGTACTTGACAGCAACACGCTTGCCTTCCGAATCCAGCAAAAGAATGTTCTTTACAGTAGGGCAAGCGTCCTGTAAACAACAGATCACCAAATCGCTCATCACCCCAAGCAAAATGCAAGCTTCTTTCCATCTCATAAATCAAGAGAAACCCACGACGAACTCATTAATTCCACTGTAAAACCTAAATCTTTTAGTTCCCCCAAATTCCACTTCGAAACGCCTAAAAAAACATTTCTCCCTCCCTCAGTAATTCTTCATTGAACACGATCCATTCAGATACCAATCGGATCAACGATTTGCCCAATTCACGAAACCCAACTCTAGAAAATAACTCCAGCACGACTGGAAGCCAAGCTCTTGGGAATTGAACCAGAATTAACCCGGCTTTCAACAAATTTTCTCAGTGAATAAGTTGAATCGATTCGTGGTGTTTCTCGACATAACCCATCAGATCCAAAGCTAAACAAGAATCTAAGATATACAGGGAGAAAGAGAGAGAGAGAGGACTTACGCGAAAGGAAGAAAGCGCCATAGATGTGGGGATTCAAGTGCGAGAGCTGTGGTTACAGAGGAAGCGCTCGACGTTTTTTATTTGTAAATTTTTACTCGTTCTAGTTTCTACCCGATTTTTTCCCCAATCTGGAGTGATTTTTAAGCTAAGTGCGTCTTTTCTTTCTCGATCCGGGCTTCAAGAATTGCCGTCATTTCCAACTTTCAAACCGGATTAAACCATCAAACCGGTTTAACAATCGATTTGAGATTTAATGGTAGGAATATAGGTAGGAATGGCAATGGGCAGGTCCGAGGCGGGTATCTTGATACCCATACCCGCCCCATGACAGGACAGGTCCAAGTCGGGTAATTTATCACGGGGTGCGGGTCGGGGCAGGTCGACCCAATGTGTATGTAATTTATGTGAAAACATTAGAAATGTTCGTTCTTTTCATTGAAAGACCAAGAAAGAAACCATAATATGATAAAATGTAGTTAAATTATTGAAAAAATTGAGATTTTCACTTATTTACAATTTTATTATACCTAAAATATAATGTAATAAGAGGAAAATCTTAAGTAATTTGACTAAGATTATATGTAATTTAGGCAAGAACGGGTCAAGAATGGGGCGGGTCAGGGCAGGTCGGGTCGATGAGAGATACCCATGCCCGCCCCGCCCCACCTACGGGGCGGGTTTGACCCGCCCCAAAACAGGTCAAACAGGTCGGGTAAATCAGGTCAGGTCAGGTCAGGTCAAAATTGCCATCCCTAAATATAGGTCGGGTGACAACGGTTGGGTTGGATGGATAGTGCATATCCGTTACCCTACCCAAAATAAATAGTGTTTTATTCATATTTATACTCACATAAGAATCGGGTAGAAAATCAAAACCATGCGCATACTCATATAACTCCAATCCAATAGGTTAACATTCACACATATGCTCACATTAATTAAGTGGAAAAGTACAACAATAAATAACTACAATAAAGAAAATTAATTATAAACAACACAATTCCAAGAAAACATTATATTTGTATGTTTCTGTCTCTGTTCCTGTTTTGCTTCTTGTTGTGGAATTCTGGGATTCTTGCTTTCATCCCCAAATTTGGGGTTCATCCTCATTTTTCCTTCTTTTGCTCCAATGCTACATCCTCTATATTTGGAGATCTCCATTTTTTAAGTTTTTTATTTACCTCAACTTCTCCTCCACGGGGAGCTTGTAGAACCCTTCAACCTCATATCTCAGAAAAAGCGTTCTCCATGAGTGATTCCGAGAGGGTGAGCGCACGGGTGGGGGAGGGGCGTCGGTTTGTTTCCTTTGTTTGCAGGTCCCAGGCGTCGAGGCGAAGATATGGAGGCGACTCTCGGGTTTTTTGTCAGTGGGTTCTTCAGATGGGATCTAGATCGATCAGCCTTAGTGCAGGGTTGTTCGGAGGAAGGGATGGGTATAGAATCCAAGTGCAGGACACGAGTAGGAAGTGGCCCATTGTCATTGACGAGAAACAACTAGCGTGGCTTCAAGGGGTATTGCAAATTGCAGCGATGCAAAACTGGAGATTTCCGGCGGGATGTGTGAAAAGGAGTGGGACGAGAACGATTCATGTGGGCAGGATGGTGAGGAAGCAAGGGGATTTGTTGCAGATCTTCGAGCAGGGTCCCAACGGTAGAACTTTTATGGTTCTCATACCTTCGGCGGGATCCTATAAGGGGTGGGCAGGCATAATTGCTCTTCTCCAGCAGTTATATCATGTTGAGCAGCTTCTGCGAATTGAGAAGCTGTCTATTTCTCATTCGGCGGTTGACCTCCCGGTGGCTCCCTGTTTCCCGGAGAGCGCGGGGGCGAGCAAAACCTACGCAGAAGCTGTTAAAGGAGGAGGTTTTTACGGAGCGGGAAGCTGTTTGATTGTTCAAGATCCAGAAGGTTGCTTTATTCAGGTTGGCCCTGAAGGAGTGTCTGAAAGGAATAGCACGTTGGAAAGATGTCTGGTTATAAGGTTCTGTTCGGCTACTGATGAGGTTTTCACAAGGGAGCAGGTGGGTGAATTTAGAAGGTGGGCGGGGAGGTATTGGTTGATCGACTCCAACTTTGGTCTGGAGGATGGCAGGTGGCTTCTCCATTGTCCGAGTTTCTGAGAACTTCTAATGATTAAAGAGCTCGACCATCTTAGGTTCAAAAGCTTTTTTGTCAAGATCACCATGTGAAAGGATGTTGATAACAACCTATACTTGCCCTCTGATGTTCGTTGGATCATGGTTTTTGGAATTCCTCTGCATCTCAAGAGTGTCAATCTAATTGGAACTATCGGAGAGTTTTGCGAAGGATTGGTGGAGGTTGATTGGAACTCTTGGAGCTCCCCTGTTGTGAGGATGAGGGTGAAAGTCGACGGGTCTATTCCGGAGGAAATCCCGCTGGTCTTTGGAGATCAGTGTTTTTACATTAAAGTTCGATCGTCGCCTGAGCTTTCTCCGGCAGGTGTGAGTACGACGGGTATGGGGAGGAGGGTTCAGAAGTCAAAAAGAGTGGAAGATCATCGGTTAGTGAAAAACGAGGGCGGCTCTCAGATCAGGCACGGGTTGCAGCCCCCAAGGAGTATACGAATGGACGTAATTCGAATCAAGGGAAACCTGCCATCGGAGGCTTGTCTAGTCTGCATGGGGCTGTTCATTATGTTGCCAGCAGGAGTTGGTTTGGTATACCAATTGGGTCGAACAGGCAAATATGGGTTAGAAAGTATGGGCCTGTTAACAAGCCCAATAAGTTTAGTATGGCTAGTAACGTCCGCGGGCATGTTACTGGACTTGATGAGCCTGGTAGCATGATGAAGAGTTGTGCAAGAAGCGCTGAAAAGGTTGGGCCCTGGGGTTGCGTTTCGGATAAAAGGGCGTGGGAATCCTTGGCCTCGAAAGCTCTCTTTTTCCTTCAAGATCTTCTCATGCAGCCCACCAAGAACCCCATTCACCATTTCCCTCTTAGTCCCAAATGTTGTCCGTCGAGAAGGGGGGTCGAATTTGTTTTTGTCCAATTTCGCGAGCCTCCTCTGCCTTGAAATATCGCTTTTGATCCGTTCTAGTAATCCTTGGGTTATTGAAGTTCTGGTCCAAAATGATGTTCCGTGTCCCCGTAGCTTCGAGGAATTGGAATTCTCAGAGTCGGCTGGGGGGGTTTACTCGATGGAGTCCCTGGCTCATTCCATTGTATCGCCACCGGCTACTCCCACTCGTCCCGCTTCTTCGGGTGATGAGGTGAGCAGCCCTTCGGGTTTCTTCTTTCCATCTCCTTCTTGTGTGGCTGACAGTCAGGAAAGAGAATGGAGTCAGGACTCTTTTCCTTTCGACTTGGGCACACTGGTCTCTACGAGTGTTGAGTTGGGGGCCTTGTTCGATCTAAACAGAGCTAGGGGGTCCAGACGAAGTAGAGAGGGGGATTTTGAATCAGGCTAAAGAACTCCACCAGAGGAAAGTTCGTCCCTGCAGATTGAAGCTAGATATGGAAAGGATTTTCCTCGGGCCGATTGAGGAACCGATGCTAGGGTCCCGGCGGAGGAAGAGAAGGGTTGTTTGATCTGTGTTTCTGTTTTTATGGATACCTCGGTTTTGGTGTGGAATGTAAGGGGGTTAGGTGACAGGGATAAAAGAGCTAGAGTTAAGCGAATTGTGAATAGCAGTCGGCCCAAAATAGTGGGGTTGGTTGAAACTAAGTGGGCAAGCTGCGACGATTTCAAGGTTCGGAGTGTTGGTGGTGCGCTTGAATCAGGGTGGGTTTCTAAGAATGCGATAGGCAGCTCTGGGGGAATTGTAATCTTTTGGGATAAGCATACCTTTAATGTGATAAACAGCAGGGAAGGCAGGCATTATCTTGAGGTTTATCTTCAGGAGGTTGCTTCCATGAAGTCTTGGCGTTTGGTTGTGGTTTATGGGCCACAAGAGAGGGAGGATAAGCTGGTTTTTCTCAATGAGCTGCTTTCTATTGGTCATAATAATCAGGATTCTATTTGCATCGCCGGGGATTTCAACTTGGTTCGTAGCCATGACGAGTACAGAGGGGGTCGTCGTAGCCTCAATCTCATGACGGAATTCAATTCAGTAATCGATGCTTGTGGTCTTATGGAGCTTCCGCTTGGGGGGAGTCTGTTCACTTGGAGCAAAGGAGGGGATAATAATTGTCTATCTCGGATCGACAAGGTGTTTGTTTCTTCCAGTTTTGATATTATGTTCTCGGACTGCTCTCTTACTGCTCTTGAGCGCATTGTTTCGGATCACAATCCTTTACTAATCAGTTGGGGAGACAGACACAGGGTGCATAGGCCATGGAGGTTTGAGAATATGTGGTTTGAAGATGCTAGATTTTTTACAGGCTTGAGCAGTTGGTATGCCTCGCAGATTCAAGGCAGAGGGTTTGTCTTTCGGCGGGCACGGAGATTACAGGATCTTAAGAACAAAATTAAGGTGTGGAACAGGGAGGTGTTTGGGGACCAGAATAAGAGGCTCGAGGTCCTTATGGCTAAGGCTCGGGATTTAAACCAGCAGGAAGAGTTGAGGCCCTTGACGATTGAGGAGGTGAGATCAAGGGAGCAATGTTTAACTGAAATTGGAATTACTCTTGATCTTCTTGAAATTTCCTAGAGGCAAAAATCGAGAGAGCTGTGGCTTCATAAAGGCAACAGGAATTCAGGGTACTTTCACATAATTGCGAGCTACAGAAGGAAGGTTAATCACATAGGGCGTATCAAAATTAATGGTAATCTAATTGAAGGGAGGGAGGAAGTTGCTGAAGGAGTTGTGGATTTTTATGTGGGATTGTTTCAGGAAAGTCTTAAATCTCGCCCTTTCCCACTTTTATATAATTGCAGCAGATTAACAGAGTCGGACTTCGGGATCCTTAACAGGCCCTTCTCGGAGGTGGAGATTTGGGCTAGTATTGTCGATTGCGATGGTGGGAAAGCTCCTGGGCTGGACGGTTTCACCTAGGAATTCTATAAGAAAAGCTGGAACTGGATCAAGAATGATGTCATAAGAGCCTTTGAAGAGTTCTTCGTTTCTGGTTTCCTGCCTGATTGCACTACTCACTCTTTTATTTATCTTGTGCCCAAGAAAGATGCAGTTGAAGACATCAAGGATCTGAGGCCAATCAGTCTAATGGGCAGCTTCAATAAGCTGGTTAGCAAAGTCCTTTCTCGCAGATTGGGGAGTGTGCTTCCGTATCTTGTT